TGGAGGTGTTCTCAACCCCGCGGAGGGGCTCCGCGGCTTTGATCCGCGTCTTCCTGGTCTGCAGACCAGGCAGACGCAGAGCAGCTTTTCTCGCCGGGAGTACATGGGTGGCGGGACCGCGAGGTCCCACAGTCCATGTTCATAACTGCGGATCCGACGTGAGTCGGATCCGCGTAAGTTGGGGACTGCCTGTACTCAGTATTGATTGATAGTGCAATTATAGCCGATTTTCCCCAGAGTCCCATTTAGAAGAACTCTAAAATGTATCGACCACTGAAATGTTGGAACAAAATGGACTCAGTCCATGGTTTCATTTCCTGACTGGTGAAAATTTCATACAGCTGCATAAGGAACATCAGTTCAAGTCTATAAACTTGCATTCCTACATATCCACTCTCGCTTAAGTCAAGTATCTAAACTGCTCCTGGTTATGTAGGTACTGCAACTCAAAATGTAGCTTCTTTCACTGAGCTTGCTTCATCCCCTGCTCTTCTGCCTTCTGAGGTGACTCTCCAAAGGACACAGCACTCCCCAAACACTTTAAAATGTCTCCTTGACTCAAGATGGAATCCTTTCAGGTCTCATAGGCCAGAGAGGAGCTTCCCAAGGCGGGGCAGGAAGGTGCTGAGAGAGCCAGGAAGTCTGGAGAGACCCCATGTTTCTATACATCTGGTAATCTCTTTGGCAAGGCTATTTGCATGTCCAGGTGCCTCCCTTGTATGTACAAATGGGAGATGTCAGACATCCATATTTTAAATGCCCATTATATGCATGCAAACATCCATATTAATGTTATTCTGAAACCATGGGACTTATGAATAATATTTATTGTTTTACCTCATAGTTAAATGTTCGCCGATGCTTTAAAAATGTCAGGTGTATTCAGCACAGTGAAAGTTGTGGAATAAAGAGATAATATTCTCCTCGGATGAAATCAGCTCGCGGGTGCTCGCTGTATGTGTTGAAATCCTGATGGAAATGATGACTGCACATAGTTAAAAATAGGAGTTGCTCAGTTGCTATTAGTAGCTGGGAGATTAGAGCCAAAAAAATTGATTGTTCCAGAATCCACAACAGAGAAGTCAAGATGCTATAAGGAGGGGAATTATTGTTTGCTTTGCCTTAATAGGGCAGCAAAAGAGAGCCTAGAAAACTTTCACACCTGCATGCCCTTGAAATAGAACATCCGTAACACCTGAAAGGTGTCATTAGCACTGAATGTAATTAGGTCCTGAATTGATTGCCTCCCAGGAGGAAATTAACAAGAACATTTCCCCAGAACAATGCACAAAGCAAATTGTGAGACTGCAAAAGCTGAGTCCTTCTCATCATGACTCTTTACAGGCTTAGTCAGGGGAGGCCTCATTTTGGATTGTCTGGTAGAGCTGCTGCCAATGACCGCAAGAGTCTTAATATAGAGATTCTTCTATGATCAAATACAGAAGTTCCTTCCCCACTCTCACCCCCATCCTTCCGAGGAAGTGGGTCTGGCCCACGAAAGCTCATCATCTAATAAACCATCTTGTTAAGTCTTTAAAGTGCTACATTGTCCTGCATTTTGCTTCAGCTACCCCAGACTAACACGGCTACATTTCTATCCCCATTCTTCCCTGAGAGGAGGCCCTCTACTGATCTGTCTCCTGTAGTTTCTGGTCACCTCTTTGGCAAACACAACACAAACTGCCTGCGCAAGAGTCACTGCAGGAAGCTGAAGAGCCATCTGTGATTTCCTTCTAGGGTGGCTAATGTAGGCATTCGAACTTGCAAATGAAGCCTGGGATTTAAATATCCCGGGCTTCATTTGCATGTTCCCGGGCGGGCGCCATTTTTAAATCCCCTTAGTTGGAACTGACTGCCCGTGGCTACACACGGCAGTCAGAAATTAATCCAAACTAAGTCTTTAGTTTGGATTAACTGTTATACCTCATTGCAGGAGGAGTAACAGTTAATCCGAACTAAGGACTTAGTTCGGATTAACTTCTGACTGCCGAGTGTAGCCACGGGCAGTCAGTTCGAACTAAAGGGATTTAAAAATGGTGCCCGCCCAGGACCATGCAAATGAAGCCCGGGATATTTAAATCCCAGGCTTCATTTGCAAGTTCGAATGCCTACATTAGCCACCCTAGTTCGAACTAGAGGGCTAGTGTAGACATACTCAGAGTGATTGACAGAACTAACAAGACCCAAAATGGTGGTGCTGCTGCTAGTGCAAATTAGGAATGGATGATGAAAAATCCAGGATACAGATCTACCAAAGAGTCAAGCCAGCCATTTAGCTGGCCACAAACCACCAACTGAGGGAAATTGACAAAATGTGCTTGCTGGCACATCCATAAAGAGAAATTAATTTCTGTTCTCAAATCCTGGCAGGATTTGCTTTCCTCATAGGCACGTCTATGAGGAAATCTGGACTGAATTCAGATCCTTTTCTTTCTCTTGCGGAGAAGTTGACTGTTACCTTTTTACTGTGTCTCTTTTATGGTAATACAATGGAACAATCATTTCATCACCGTAGCAACATCAAGTGCACTGTGGAAGGCAGATTTGATCAGTTAAAGATACAGTGTGGTTGACTTGTGCTACTGAGGGATTATCAAAAATAAATAAATAGTGGGAGGAGAGTTTGTATGTGTCTCAGGATTCTGTTTTGAATATAATATTTATTAGCATGATGATGGTTCATTATGAAGATGCTGGTTTGACAGTCTGACTCAGAGTCTTCTGTTTATCATCAGGACAGATACAGGGCAAGAATTAGCAGCAATTCAAACACCGAGGCTGTGTCTACACTGGCGCGATCTTGCGCCAAAGCGGCCGCTTTTGTGCAAAAACTTGCTGTCTATCTACCCTGGCCATGTGTTCTTGCACAAGTAAACTGACGTTCTACTGTATAAAATCAGGGCTCCTTGCGCAAGAGCTATGATGCTCCCGCTCAGGAATAAGCCCTCTTGCGCAACTATTCTTGCGCAAGAGGCCAATATAGACAGGCAACATGAATTTCTTTCGCAAGAAAGCCCTATGGTTAAAATGGCCATCAGAGCTTTCTTGCTCAAGAGAGCGTCTACACTGCTCTTGCGCAAAAGCACATGCCAGTGTAGACACTCTCTTCTGGAAGAGTTTTTGCACAAGAACTCTACAGAAAAAGAGTTCTTGTGCAAGAAGCTGCCAGTGTAGACGTAGCCCCACAGATTATCCGTGCATTATGCTCAGGTGTATCCCCTGAGCTAAAGGCCTCTTCTTAGGATCAGAGGAGAGGTTGGTCTTTATGGTCAATTCAGTCTTTGTCCCCTCTGAGGCTAACAAGAATGCAGTTCATATCATATAGACACCTGTCTGCTAGGTACTGAACTGAATATCTGGTTACTAGCTCATCTAAAATAGGCCAGCCACTGAGAGCCACTGGGTCACTACTGACCAGTTATGGATCCCAGTTGCTATGTCATCTACTTTTGTGACAACCAGTACTGCAGTATCCAACTGCTGACATGAAGAAAAACTCCTTAACTCCTAGCTGTCTTTGGTTTTCAGGAAAAAGGAAGACAGAATGGAAAGAATTTTTTAAAATATTTTCTGCATTAAGTTGTCTGTCTGTCTGACCTGGAACTTGACCCTAAAGGGGTTTGTCTTGTGAACGTATTTTGTTGGGTCATCACGATTCATGCCTTTCATAGGAAGTCCAAAACACATGCCCTAAGGCTTTGTTTGCATGAGATGTGGAGAATATGGGGAAGGACTCTAGTCCAGTGCAAAACATCATTTTCTCTCGGAGGATTGTCTTAATATTATTGAGTTTTCTGGGCAAAGCCGATCTTACAGCTTTTAGTTTAAGTTTTAGCCATGGATGCTAAAATTAAGGACAACTGCATCTTCTTCAGTGGCTGCATTTAGACCCTTGGTGAAATCTGAGAGTTACAGTTAACTTGCATAACATGGAGCAAATTGCACCTTTCCCTGTACTTTTTAATATTGGGTAGGCAACACTATGGAGATTGCAACATTCAAGCAGAATTCAGCATCCCTTGTATATACTTCATGTGTTGCAAATTTGTTTTAAAGGTGTGGATTGCTACAGGCCCCTTTATGGACTTCTGAAGGCCAAGCTTTGGCTATGCTTGAATGTCTGCCTGTGTGATGAGAGAGGGGGGAGAATTTGGTATATCCCTTTCAGCCCTTTAAACTGGTGCCAGGTACCTCTTTGGATTCCAGATGCTTTAAAAACATTCATATCGGCTTTCCTTTCTGATATTCTGCAGATTGACTCCTCCCCTGGAAAGAAAATGAAGAGTGCTGCCAGACCTTGGAATGCAATGGCAAAGCCAGGGAACCATGGGATTGACCGAGGAAAACCTATCCCCGCTGCTTCCTCGGGCATGAAGACCTCCAAATCCTCCACTTCCCTTGCTTTTGAATCTCGGCTCAGCAAGGTACTAACCAGTAAGCAGTGTGCAAGCATCCCAAGTTGATTCCAAGCTATCACTCCAGCGAAAGTGGAGCGTGTTACCAAGTGTTCAGTGCTTTGAGACTGGGGAAGGGGTGTGTGTGTCTGGAGCAGACTCTCGTGTGTGCATATTACACCACAGTGTCTGTGTGTGTTGGATAGTCATTCCGGATTTGTCTGAGTGTGGGGCTTGGTTTGTGTTTGCAAGAGTGTGAGCATTCCTGTGGTGGGGACAAAGGGAGGAATTTGACACTAGACTATGTGTGTGAGGGGGGTGGCTTGGATTACACAGTGGTATGTATCTTTAGGGGGTCCTACCATATTCATGGTACATTTTGGTTAATTTCACAATCATTGGATTTTAAGAATCATAAAATTTCATGACTTCATCTTTTTAATTCTGAAATTGTAATTTTAGGGGTCCTGACTCAAAAAGGAGTTGGGTGGGATCACAAGGTTATGGAAGCAGGGTTGCAGTCAGTATTCCCTGTAAGATGAGCACTTGAGCAGCCATCTGGGAGAGAGTAAAATGCTGCTCAGCTGCTCAGTAAAGTGCCTATAGTGCTCACAGCTGGCAGCCTGGGTTTCTGTTGGTGTTAACATCCACACATGCCTTAGTTCACAGAACTACATTTATTCCGCACAAAGAAGGAAAAAATTAGAGGTAACACTGGTTGCAGTACTGCTACTCTTACTTCTGGGCTGCTGCTGGCATTGCTGCTGCCTTCAAGAGCTAGGCAGCTGAAGAGCGGCAGCTGCTGGCTGGGAGCTGAGCTCTGAAGGCAGAGCTGCCACCACTAGCGGCAGCGTAGAAGTAAGGAGAGTGTGGTATGCTATTGCCACCTTTACTTCTTTTCCCAAAGAGAGATTTGATAAAGGTCAGGAGATAATCTTGTGTCCTTTAATCTGTTCCCCTTCCAGAAAGGTAAGGTACACAGCAGAATATCGTTTGTACATTTTTGATGCTCATCTTTTTATGGATTTTCAATAAGACCAGAAATGCACAAGAAAATACAGTTAGTCCTCATTTAACACTATAGATACGTTTCAGAAAATGATCGTGCTAAGTGAAAACGTGTTACGCCGGGTCAATTTTCCCATTGAAAATAATGGAAAAGGTGGGGATTGCGTTTCAAGTGGTGGTGTCTGTTAGGACCGGGACATAAGGTTGGGGGAGAAAGGGGACTGGGTTATGGCAGGGAGGGGAGGTGTTTGGCTCTAGGGAAGGGAAGGGGAGGAGAGTGGAAGGGGATTGGGTTGGGAGTATGCCCCTGTGACAGGTCTGCTGGGACCTGCACTGCGTCCGGTGAGGGGGGGTCACTGGGGAATGGTGCAGCAAGCGGCAAACCCTCCGCTGCTTTGCAGGGAGGTGGGGGAAGCCCCGCACAGCCGCACGTGACGGGTTGCATCTGGCGAAGGGGGTGGGAATGGGGGGGGATCGCTGGGGAACGGCACAGCAAGTGGCGAACTCTCCGCCGCTTTGTAGGGAGGTGGGGGAAGCCCTGCGCAGCCCCCGGCAACGGGCCATCTGAGGAAATCGTGTTATTCCGGGGATGGTCGTGTAATTCAAAAAACGTTCCCTAAAAAAACCAATTGTGCTATCGCGAAAACATGTTAAGCGGGCACGTGTTAAGTGAGGAATTACTGTCATGTTTCATTTTATTGCTAATCCCAAACTGGGCATGGTGCTGCACGTGTGATCTGACAGCCCCTGAACAAAGAGAGCAAGATGGTCCAAGTTCAGAAAAAAGAATAGGATCTGGGAGCATAGACTATGACTTTGCTTGCAACAGTGAAGGCCGATTTAACCATACGGAACATTCTATAATGCAGGGATCTCTAACTCCCGGCCTGTGGGCCAGTCCCTTCTGGAGCGAGTGCGCAATCCGGCCTGGGACCCCTGCAGGCTGGGGTGAGGGTGTCTCTTACTGGCCTCAAAACCCCACCCCTTCCTGCCATCACCCTGCCCTTCCCCCCATGGCACCCCTCCCTTGAGCACATGACTTTGGAGATTCCCCCACACTCCCTGCAGGGGCAGGAGCCGTGTGGAATCCGAGTGCAGCGGCACGAGTGCACTCGCCCAACGTGCTCCGCTTCCCCCACGGCTCCTGCTGCCACTGGGTGTGTGGGTGGCACGACTGCTGCCACACAGCAGCAGGCCCCCCCGGTGACTCCCAGAGTCGCAAGCTCAGAGGACAGGGTGCCATGGTGGGGAGAGGATGGGGCAGTGGCAGAAAGGGATGGGACTTGGTGGCCGGTACCAGACACCCTCCTGCTCCCCCCAGGCCCACTGAGAGTCCTGGGCCAGACTGTGCAATCATTCCGGCTGGGAGTCTGAGACCCCTGCTATAAAGCTTGTAGTGTTCAAGTAGCCTTACAAACAGTTATTAACCTTTGCAGTCTCTAGTGCAATGGGTACATGTGTTATACCCACAACTATAAGCACCTCAGAAATGAGACACTTTCAGCCCAGGGCTCCAGCCAGTCTTTTTCATGGAAAGGTCTTTCTTCTAGGTGTGGTGCTGTGCTGGCACTTCTGAATGAGTGTTGCAGAGATGTGTGGATGCAGGAAGGCAAGGGACTGTCATGTTTAACTGCCCATCTTTTAAAGAACACAATGCTTTCTTTCTAGCTGCTGCAGTGATCTCTAAGCTGTGAGCAGCCATAGTACAGATGAAAGATGACAAAAGGGAAAAGTTAGCAAGGGGCTATGGAAAGATAGACAGGGCAGTGAGTTGTACTTGGCACCATGAGAAGTGGGGAACGTGGCCAAAGCTGCTGTAGAGAAACTGGATGGAGACTTTTCCGAAGGTCAGAAAGTTAGATTGCTCTGCCTTGCTCTCAGGAATGAATGGACTAAAGGCCCTGCCAAAATGCAAAACTTCAGATGTCTTGTTTCCTGAAAATGCCTTGGCTATCAAAGCTCACATGCTCCCAGACTCTGGGAAACCAGAAACTGAGTCAGATGAAAAGATGAAAGAAAAGAAAATTGGAGTTGAGAGAAATGTGATCTTGCTTAAAAACTTTACAATTCAGGAATCCACTAATCCGGGAGTGTGTTTGCACTATAAGCTCTTTTCTCATCTCTTTTCTATCCACCATCATCTCACTCTAGTTTAGAGAGAGCTACTACACAGCCTCGGTCTAAGATTCTTAAAAGATTCTCTCTCTTGAAGGTTACTCATTAGTTAATCTGAGCTGTGGAAGTGCACGAAAAGAGAAACACATCTGGCAAGGATTCTGAAAAGGACTCCTCCTTACTCTGGTTTAGGCCAACAGCCTTTCAATGGTTTTCTTGTGAAGCATATGTTTTTGGTCTTTCAGATTTGCATGAATTTCCTGAATACGCCTCTAGAGTGAACTTGGTTTACCAGCAAAAACAAAACAAAACAAAACAAAAAAGTGCTTTTTCAGGGGCAATAAAGTCTCCTGAGTAAACTCTGGTGTTAGCAGCTAATGTTGGATTTTGGAATATCAACATACATAGTGATGAGCTGGCTAGTGGAAATTCAACCAATGAAAGCTGCATTAAAATATATGCTTGAATATTCCCTGTGAGTTTGTGTCTCGTGCTCTGTAGTAAGTCTGGTTGGCACCTTGCCATGTGGCTGGAGGTCTTGGTTCAAATGTCACACCAGGGTTTTGACACTGCAGTGCAGTACTGGAAGAAGAGAGGCAGCATTGTTACCAATGCCAATCTTTGACACTTCAGAGCAAGATCTTTGTCTTCAACTTTTGGTGGGTTGTCCAGTTGGAAGTCCTGTGGATATAAATTTGCTGTCCTCCTTAGCATTGCTTCTCTCAGAAAAATGTTCAGCTATTACTGAGCATAATTTGTTTACAAAGTCACTGTATTAGCAGAGCCTTATTCAGAGGTATGTTTAATACTTTTGGGGACTTCGAGTTGTAAAACTTAATTCTCATGTGGTTTTTGAATGCCTGAGCAAATATGATGCAGCAGCTCCACAGATATCATTGGATTTCAGGCATGTAACTAGATCATTTGTCCTGAAATTACAAACCCATCCCACATCCTGCATGCTCCAAGTGCTTTCTTGAATGTCTGGGAGGGGACAAATTTGCAGTCCTAACTAGACACATTCCCTGGGGAGCAGCTGCCTTTAGTTCAGTTGAGTGGGTCCTGAATTGCCTGAGTGTCTTGGGTACCAATTCTCTTCTTCTGCCTCTAAATAGAAGGTCCCCCTTCATGTACACTTAGCTATGCATTTTACAGGGGCACCGAGACTTTCAGTTCCTGTGCACCAAGCACACTTCTATTTAAATAACTGCTTAGAACACACCATGTCTTCCTCCGAGGTTGTGAAGCACATCATGGCAATGTATCCATTGTAATCTGGAACTTTCTGAAGCTTCTTTTTCTAAACCTGAGAGCTGATGCCTTTCTGTGCTGTGGCTGATTCCCAGGTAACCCTCTCCTCGATGCACACTTCTGTTTTCACACTGATAATCAAGTCCTGCACCTCCCCAACTCTCCTGGGTTAGCTTTCGTCACTGCTGTTCAATAAATGAAACTCCTGAAGGTCTAAACTGCTGACATGATGCAGACATTTCCCTTTGATAACTCTGCTCTTTCCTTTTGATAAAGCATCCTGCACACCTAACCACACCAGCCTTCCCACCAAAGGCTTGTTCACCTGCACAGCTGCTAATGTCATATATGCCATCATGTGCCAGCAATGCCCGTCTGCCATGTACACTGGCCAAACCAGACTGTCTCTATGCAACAGAATAAATAAACACATATCAGACATCAAGAATAGTAACATACAAAACTCAGTGGGAGAACATTTAATCTCCCCGGACACACAGTTACAGACTTTAAAGTTGCCATCCTCAAGAAAAAATACTTTGGAAACAGGCCGCAATGTGAAACTGCTGAGCTGGAATTCATGTGCAAATTTGACACTATCAAAATGGGTCTGACTAGGGGCTGAGAATGGCTCTCTCATTATAAGAAGTCATTTTCCACTTCAGGCATTCTCATCTTCTTATCCACAGCCGCCCTCAGGCCCATATGCAGGGGGTGCGCTAAGGGTGTGAACTCACCCCCCCCATTGTCCCTCATGGTTCCAGTTCTGGCCTGGTTGGGGTGGTGCATTGCCCCGCCCTCCCCCATGCTCTGGCTGGCTGGGAGAAGAATGGGGCTCTTTCCTCCCTTCCCCGGGAGCAAGGCCAGGGGCTGGGCCCTGTGCACCCCCTGCCTTCTTTTGCCAGCTCTGTCTGCAGCCCCTGGCATGCTCCCCAACACAGAGGCCTGGCAGCCCACAGCGTCTCAAGCTGGACCCAAGCGGCAGCCTCCCCCTCTGCTGACTGTGAGCCGCAGGGGCCAATCAGAGCCTAGAGAGAAAGGCACCTGCTGCTAATGCCAGGCTGACACTGGAGGGAAGGGCCCCAGCCCTCTGGGAGATGTAGTCCTGCCCACATCCCTCCACACCACCCAACACGGGAAGGGAAGCAGGGGAGGCAAAAAAGGGACTACAGCTCCCAGCATGCCATGTGGCTCTCCTGTGGTGCATATGAGAAGCCAGTCCTGTGGGTGGGGTGGGAGCAGAGTACGGACCAGGTCTGCCCACAGACGCAGCAGGGAGCCTCAGGCAGACTCTTTTCCTGTTCTGCCCACTGCATGATGCTGAGAAAAGCTGCTGCAGGGCTTTGGTTAACAGTTGTGAGCCTTCACATGCTGCTCCCACCCCCAGCTCAATCCCATTGGCCAGTTTCTGGCCAATAGGAGCTACCTCTTGTCAACAGATAGCTTGCAAAGCCCCCTCCCCTGCCCTCTCCTCAGGCTCTTAGCTGTTCAAAAACCACATGGCCCCTGTAGTCAGTGCGGGGGCAGGGAGGTCTGCTTTAGAAGGCTGTCGGCTAGGAGTCAAGCAGGTAATTCTCCCAGTCAGAGCCTACCTCTGGCAGCCCAACCCTCTGCCACCTTCCCCCACATAACCCAAACCCTCTGCCTCCCATCCCCATAGCCTGCACCACAAACCCATGCCCCAGGTCGCAACCCAAACCCTCTGTCTCTTTTCCTGCACCCATATTCCCACCCAGATCCTGCCACCCCAGTCTCCTGCCCCAAGTCACAACCCAAACCCCGGTACCCCCTCCTGCACCCTAGGTCCATGCTCACAACCTAGTTCACAACCCAGATCCCTGCACCCTAGTCCAGGTCACAACTGCCTCCTTCACCCAAACTCCCTCCCTGACTCCACAGCCTCTCCTGCACCCCAGTCCTTTACCCAAAGCTCTGCCTCCTTCACCCAAACTCCCTCCCTGACTCCACAGCCTCTCCTGCACCCCAGTCCTTTACCCAAAGCTCCCTCTGCACCCAACCTCCATTCCAGACCCTGCACTTCCTCCATTCATATGGAAGAATGCGGCCCTTGACCACTTTCCAAATTCTTGGAATGGCCCCCCATCAAAAATTATCACCCACCCCAGGTAGGGGTTGACTCTGCCCACAGCAAAAGTGGGAGGCCTCTGAGACCTTCATTCCAGTCAAGGTCTCATAGCGAGGGGAGTGGGGGCTGCTGCTCTGCTTAGTTCCCTCCTAACTGCAGCAATAGCGTGAGAGCCCCTTGTCCGCAAGGCAGACAGGCTGTGCCCTAGGACAGGCAGTGGGACTGGCTGGGGGCCGCTAGCTGTAGCAGAAAGGGCCCAAGAGTGTAGATTCTACCCCCCCCTCCACACAGCAGAGGTGAGTGCCCAAGGCCTTGCCCTCTGCTGCTTGGATATATAGGAATTGCTGCAGGAGGGGCTGCTGCTGCTCTAGCAAGTGCTGTTGCTCAGCCACAGCTTGGTACGGGCAGCCTCTACCCATCCCCCCACTTCTGAGGGGCGATTCCCCCTTCAGTGCTGTCACCGCAGCCCCACATTCTAGTCCCATAGACAGTGAGGGGACCACCTTTGGGTGGTGTCCGGTTCTGCTGCAGCTTGCTCAGAGGGGGGCAAGAGGTATGAGCAGATTTGGAAACGCCACTTCAGCTGCTACGCTTCACAGAGCCGTCTCAGGCCTCGCCCTCAGAGGAAACCTGCACAACAGCTGCCAAAAGACAAGCCTGGAACTTGCATTCAGACCTTGGCTAGAGGCTACAGAAGATGAGCAGAACAGACACACTGGATGTATGATTCCTACAACAATCTGCGACCCCCTTACCTAGCCCACGATGGGGGAGTTGTTAAGGGGCTGCCGCACCTTCAGTGGTCCTTTGAAAAATCTAACAACTAGTTCTGCTAAGCCATCTGTTCCGTTTTCTGTGTGACAGTGGCACTGACGCGGAGCCTGTTCAAACTGGGAGAAGACGCTGTGCGGCTTGCAGACTTGTCTCTCTCCCCAGCTCAGATTGGTCCAGTACAATTGATTCAAGACCGTGCCTCATCCAGCTTGTTTCTGTGAGGTAACTGCAAGTCCCACGTCCCCTTCTTCCCCAGGCTGGTGGAAGCCCCTCCGCCACCAGCAGGGGAGCAGTCATGGTTCTCCAGAGCACAACCAGGTTAAAGCTGGAGGACAGTTTCTGAATGTGACTTCGAATACAGGCAGATTTCCAATTAGCAATTTGAATTGATGAATCAGGCCTGTATGCAGGGTGGGGGGAGAAAGGTGTGAGTGCACCCCCTTATTATCCTCAAAGTAAGCATGCTCTGGGCAGCCAGGGGAAGGCAGGAGCTGCGCGCTGCCTGAGCCTCCCTCTCCCATGCTCCCACTAACCAGAGGAAAGACTGGGACTGATTTCCACAGCCCCCCTCCTGGGGGAAATCAGCCCCAGCCATCCCTGAGCTGGCTGGAGCATGGGGAGGAAGGCGTGGGCAACAGGCAGCTCCTGCCTTCCTCCAGCTGGCTGGAGCATGCTTATTTGGGGGACCATGGGGGAGGGTGCCCTCTGACCCTTCCAGTCCACATTTACAAAAAAAGACCCTCCCCCAGAAATTCCTGCGAATGGGCCTGATCCTGATTGAATTAGCTCTGATGTAACACTCCCATCTCTATATTCCTACTATCTGTTTCTTTTTCTTCCACTTCATGCATCTGATGAATTGAACTGCGGCTCACAAAAGCTTATGCCATAATAAAATTGTGAGTCCTTAAGGCACCACTGGATTCCTCGTGGTCCTCCACTAAATACTTTTGGCTCAGTCCCTAGTGGCCACGTTGCTCATATCACAAAGCAGAGTTTATGATGCTGCTAAATTTGTCAGTTCTTGTTTGGCAGAGAGATGGGAATGAGCAGACAGCCTCTCCATTGGAAATACCTGGTTCTGCCAGGTCAAGACTGAAGTTGCTGCTGGAGCACAATGGGAAGCCATGTAAAACGGCCTCAGCTGAAACAGAAATAGAGAGCTGCAGATCCTGCCAAGGCCTGGAACCTTTTGTGCATAGGGATGCACTGAGATGCCAGTTATTTTATACTGTTCCTTGCCTGCTGTGCTTTGTTCCTCAGTTTCCTCAGCTGCTGGTTTCTTTATGTTCAGAAGCCTAGGTGCTTGACTCCAGCCGGGACATGAGAATAAGTCTCTAGTGCACTAATTGATGAGCTGGTGCTGCTCAGTGGGACAGTGGGGATTTTTCACCCCACCCCCACCATAGAATGCATCACTGAATCTGCATTGCCTCTTGGCCCACTTCACTAAAAGGTAGGAATGAATACAAACATGCTTCCCCCACCACTGCAGGCTGTTGAATTTGGTACCAATAATCCCACCTAGTAGATAAAACTTCGAGTTCATGTGTGAATGCACTGGGCCTACTGTCCCAGGGACTTGGGGAGGAGCCATTGATGTTCGTTAGGCTTGGTATCTGAGTGAAATTTCATCAGTCCCATTTCTTTCTCAGCCTGTAGTATGCTGTCCTGGGCCTTTCTTGGCCCCAAGGAAAAAAGTCCTTGCATTGAAGAGATCTCCTGGGGAATATCAGATATAGACATAGAACACTACAACTGGAAGGGACTTTGAGAGGTCATTGAGTCCCCACCGCTGCCTCACTTCAGGACCAAGCACCATCTAGACGATCCCTGATAGATGTCTATCTAACCTGCTCTTAAACATCTCCAGTGATGGAGATTCCACAACCTCCCTAGGCAACATATTTCAGTGTTTAACCACCCTGACAGGAAGTTTTTCCTAATGTCCAACCTAAACCTCCCTTGCTGCAATTTAAGCCTATTGCTTCTTGTCCTATCCTCAGAGGCCAAGGAGAACAATTTGTCTCCCTCCTCCTTGTAACACCCTTTTAAATACTTGAAAACCACTAATATGTCCCCTCTCAGGCTTCTCTTTTCCAAACTAAAGAAGCCCAATTCTGTCAGTCTTCCCTCATAGCTCATGTTCTCTAGACCTTTAATCATTTTTGTTGCTTTTCTCTGCACCCTCTCTAATTTCTCCACATCTTTCTTGAATATGTGGTACCAAGGTGAGAAATTCCCTCTAATATGTGGGAGAAGGATATTTTCCTCTTCTGAATGTTCAGGAATGACTCCAGATTACTGATTCCAAAGCAGTATTTCAATGGGTTTCCTTTTCCTGAAATACTCTTCTCCAAGTGTGTCAGCACTCTTCTTACAACTGAGATGATTTTACAGATATACATCTCCTGGGCGTACTGCATCTTTCATTCTTCTGGTTGCTCACAGGATCTCTCTCTTTCTTGCAGCTGAAAAGAGCTAGCAGTGATGACATGCTAACAAAGCCGGGAGTGACAGCAGCCTCCAGATTGAAGAAGACCATTACAACAGGAGCAATTTCTGAGCTTGCTGAGAATCGACTGAAGTCCAGCACAGGTAGGAGTAAACTGGATGGCAGATCAATTTATCTGGCCTTTTGGGATCACTAAGTCCTTCAGTTTACCAGGTTCTCAGTTGGAGCTCTCATATCTATTGTCATCTCAGTAGGGCAGTAAGACTTTTCCCACGGAAATATTAATGTTGGGAGTGACACAGTCAGGAATGTGCCTCATAGACATACCTTTGAATATAGCATACCCGCCTTAAAGTCAGTAATCCACAACTGTGTTGGAGGGGAGCAAAGCTATCAGTTTTCCCACATTTGATCAAGGCAGACGTTTTGCCTTTTCTGCCAGTGACCATATGTTATCAGGACAAACCATGGTGAAGTACTACTCTTGGAGAAAGCGGCAAGTTTTCCCACATTTGACACTAAACAAAATGTTGCCATTTTCACAGGATGATAAAAATCAACTTTACCTTTTGCGGAAAAAAAGGGGAAACAAGCCCTCTTGGGTAAACTGTAAAATTATGAAAATTATGCTGCTTTTTCCCAACCCTCGTGTGCTTTTCCTGCTGGATCAGCAGTACCCCGATTATGATTTTAATTTGATATGTGAGCTATTTTATTGAATTTATTTTCCATCCATATACTTATCATAACTGGTAACTTAACAGGGACATAACAGTTCTTAAAATACTGGTGAATCCCATTAAATATGTTGCTGGGGTGTTTAGCATACACAATATTGTCGTCACATCCAGATTTGTATTTAGGATTCATTGTGCCTTGTTTTTTCAATATTGATAGCAGTAAATAACAGTGTGTTATAACCTTCATTTGTACAGTTCAAGAGAGAAAATGTGTTGTGTGAGTTACACAAAAGTGTTCAGGAGCATTGCAGAAATGCTAATTGAATTGTTATGCCCAAGACTTGTGTGTGTGTCATTTTCAATCCAGTTGTAATAGTCCTGGTCAATTACAAAGAAGAATCACTAGGTGGCGCTAGTAGCTAGTGCTGTGGAATGGAGAAAACTGCCCATCATCACTGCTTCCTGAGAGGATGGTGCTATTCCTGGTGGCTGCTGAAACCCAGCAGCCTCCTGCAGAAAGAATCCTGGTCATCCGGGAAGCGTGTCATTGCCCCAGACCAGACGTACACAGCCTTATAGCCAGTCCAGTGCCTAAGAATGAAATAAACCAGGGGTTCTCAAACTTTTTCTGAGAGTGGATCACATCTTAATAGAAACACAGGTCTCCTCTTCCTGTTTCGATTGTGCAGAGCCACCTCCCCTCACACAGCAGAGGCAGCAAGAGGATGAGAGGAAAAAAAAGTCTCAGAGTGGGGTGGTGAGGTGCCACGTTGACCTAGTGGCCTCGTGTGGAGCTTGTCTCCAGTGCCTTTTCATGGTGAGCTCTGTGCCTTTGCTCCTTCCCATTGCTTTCAGCTCTGCATCAGTTTCGAAAGGCAGGCAGCCACGCCATCTGCATACCAAGTACTCTGTACAAACCCTTGGCTTTCCCTGATGAGCTCAGCAAACACACGCCTTTGTCTGCTCTCTGGTGGCATTTCAGAGAGAATGTAAGACCTTATTAAATTTGGCCATGACCTCACTATTTATCATGGCCTCTGCAGGGTTTGCCAGCATTCAGGCAGTGACAGAGCAGTGTTGCTAGCCAGCAAGAGATAAAAACTTTATGGAAATTTTTACTTCAACTGAGCAGTGCATAATGTAACATTGAAAAGCTATTATGGTAACCCAAACACAGATCCTATTGTTCAGTGAAGCAAAACCAAGGTACTGGACTTTAATGGATGCAATGAGGAGTAACGGTAGTTTGAATTAGGAGCTTTAATTTGAACTACCTAGCCCGTGCCGCGTGTAGCCGTAGGCAGGTAGTTTGAACTACAGGGCATTTAAAAATGGCGGCGACCGGGATCATGCAAATAAAGCCCGGGATATTTAAATCCCGGGCTTCATTTGTAAGTTTGAATGACTACATTAGCCACCCTAATTCGAACTAGGGTGGCTAGTGTAGACATACCCAAAGAGACTAGCAAATTGCAGTTGCCAGGACCCTACTGAATCAGTGCCTCAGAGGGGCCTTTAGCAGTGGACAGGGCTAAGCCACAATACTAGCCTGAATACAGAATGAAGCTAGGTGAGCATATTCTGCCAGGCTGGGAAATGTAAGCAGGGTATCATGTGGCTGGCTGACAGCCTAGAATTCTTTGTGTCTCTTTTTTTCCTTTTTGGCCTCTCTGTCTGACCCAGAGACCCGTGGTTTTGACATTCAGCTTCCTCCTTGCTGTGCCTTTACCCACATTTGTGATCTGCATAGGAGCATGTATTTCTGCGCCTGCCAACAAAGGACCCAAAGCTCTGATGCTCGGGCTCACTTCCTGGATGTTTCTCCTGGGTGGGAGTTGTGATGTTGGTCTCCCCTGTCTCAGGCTTCCAGACTATCTTGTGTGTGAATGCAGACACCCACCATGTAACACAGACAGTGTGTGACTTCCTTGCCTTCTGTGCAGCACACCCCACGGGCTCCTCTTCCTTTCAGGTTCCATTTCAGCCTTTCCCTGCTTGGTTTTAACCACTCTGCCTCACTGTTCCCCTTCCTACTCCCTCTGCAAGACTAGCACTGCCTGCCCTCACCCACCTCATTCAGTGTGATTAGCCCATTCTCAGTGTGAGAGCCCCGCCTTCTCCACCACTTCTGTCCTCAGGAGCAGCCTCTTCCCGTTACCCCTTCCTCCAGAGCTCAGCTGAAATTACCATTTCTTTTCTCCATGACTTCTGCCTGCTCCTTTCACTCTTCCTTTGTCCTTATCTGAGCCAGTGGTTAGGTTCCATATCTATAATGCAGCTGTATCTAAAGGACACAATGCAAACTCAGATGAACATTGTAGCGTCTCTGTAACATTATTGCTTTGCTATAATTTAAAAGAAACAAGTTACAGAAACCAAAAATGCCTAGGTTGCACACGCCCTTGAGCATAACCCTCCTGCATTTGTTTTGGTGACCTTGAGCAAGAGCGAGTGTTCCCAGTGTTGCAGATAATAAATAATTGACACCACTCCTGCCTGTCTAACACAGCCTGTGATGTATAGGTGGCCCCTTGCAGAGTTTAAGCCATGCACACCATCTTTTTTATGCTGACACACAGACTAGCCTGCCTGCCTCATTAGAAGCTAATGCAGTAAATCAGAGGCAGCTTAAAGGAAGACAGGGCCAAACCCCTCCGTCCCCCTGGAAAGCGGAGTATGAGCAAACGGAACTGGAGACAGATCCCAGGCTGGAATTCCTGCTTTGTGGTGTTTGGCGATGCAAACTCCTGGCTGTTTTGAAAGTGGATGTAAAATGAAATGACACGTACAGGGAGAGCTGCCTTGGATGTATATTCCTGTTCCATTGAGTTATGTTTTGTCGTGGGAACCCTGAAGCAGAGACGCTTGTTTAACTTAAAGGCCAGATTTGTAAAGCTCTTACAGCTGTTGTTCAGACTGTTCCTTTGTAACAAAAGGAGCTAAAAGAACAGCAAAACTGAAGGAGGATGAAGGAAGGGCTTTGGAAATGTCTCTGTACTGCTTGCATCTACCAAACTAAGTAGTAAATAAATTGGCTTCAAAGGAGTAGCTACCTAGGTATTTACCCAAACTGGTAAATCCTTGGGTCTTAGGGTTCCAGGAAGGTCAGCCTCTCCCGAAACATCAAGTTTTTAGGTTTACAAATGAAACTGAATAATAACCATATATTCTGCCCATGCCCATCTGAAGCGCTCAAAGCACTTTACATACTAAGGCTGTCTCTGCACTTACACGCTTACAGTGCCACAGCTGTGCTAATACAACTATGCCACTGTAAAAGCACGTGTGTAGCCATGTTATGTTGATGGGAGAGAACTTGCCTGTTGATATAATAAAGCCAGCTCAACAAGCAGTGGTAACATCTACAACACAGCTCTGTGCACAGGAGCGCGTATGCTGGCAAAACTTATGTTGGCTGGGGAGAGAGGTGTCACACCCAGGAGATGCAAGTTTTGCTGACGTATGTGCTAGTGTAGACACAGCCTGTCATTTACTTACCTTGAAGGAGTGTCACGTTAATCTCACTGTACAAATGGAGAAATGTAGGCACAGAAGGTGCTGTGACTTGCTCAAAGTTACACAGCAAATCAGTGGAAATCTTGACTATCAGTTCCCTGTAGCTTTCTGCAGAATCCCAATTTATAAACTTTCTGGAATCCTGTTGTACATTCTCCAAAGAGCTGTTTAGTTTCCTTTCTCTGGTTTACTCCCCTGCGGTATTTCCAGCAGCAGAAGCTATTACCTGGCTGGTTCATCAACTGAAACACTCATCTTTCTAAATGTCATCTTGTCTGTATTTCGGTCTGTGCTGAGTGAGAGAAGCCAGATGAAAGTAGGGAGTGTGACGAGGCTGGGCATGTGCAGAGCTGAGCTGAAAGCTCTTGGCGTGATGGAGAGATCTGTGTGATACTTACTGATATCAAGTTCCGTAAGCTGCAGTGTTCAGCACCAATTACCCTCCCCATGTAAATAACAGGGTAGGTTTATTTTATTTTATTTTATTTTATTTTATTTTCTGCTGGCTTATTTGTGTGTTCATGGGTGAGGCCTGAACCTATACAGAGCTATTCACCTCACCTAAAAAAGATGTCAGTTTTTCAGTATAACTCTTTGTTTCCCCACTAAGGTTTGTCTGACCAGGAACATTGAGCGTGAGGGTTGCCCTTACTAGTACAGAACAGGGGTAGCAGCATGCACTCCACACAGTGCATGCCTCCTCTGGGGTACTCAGTACTGCTGGCCGTGCCATCTGCCCCTCCCTGTTTGTGGTCAGGGTATTTAGGCAGCAGCACATTATGGCTTCCACATGAATGGGAGTGTTTGGGGAAGGGAAAAGACTTCCCAGTCCCCTCTTCTCTCCTCAGCCACCATGCAGAAGACAGCCATATTTTGACCCTATAATAAATAGATAGGAATGGTTACTGCTTAGAAGACTTTCAGGAGAACATAGGTGGCCCTCAGTA